CTCTCATGTCACCACTAACCATACGTCTGATGTTGATGGGACCAAGAGAAGGTGCTCACCTGAGGATCTTAGCACCTGGCCAGGTTTGTAAAGGGAGATATAATATTTACAGTAACTTGGGCCCCAAAGCCATAAAGAGCTTTAGAAGTCATAACCAGCATTTTGAATTGTCCCTGGAAATGGACCAGTTGACACATGTTGTAACCAGAATGGCAGAAAGATGCTTCCTAACACTAAGAATGGCTGAGCAACAGAGGTCATACAAATTCCTTTCCCAGGTGCTTTTAAGAATGTATTGACATTTATTGAAGGTGATTTAAAATCTCAAGAATCCTAGTTGGCTGCATGGCTCAGTCAGTTCCAACCATACAATGTAAGCTAATTTGTACAAAAACGCTGCTGATGTAAGCAGTCTACTCATGTGAGCCATATAACAAGGTTGGAGCAAAAGCAAACAAAATCAACTGCTCCCTCCTAGAACTGGAAAATGCCACTTTTCAATTCACAGAAAAGAGCAGACTATTCACATTCCCTGCTCCCATCTGTACGTCGCTCACAGAACAGCCTTGTAAATGGCTCCCACAAGTCGTTGTTGTTGTTGTTTATTTATATCCTGCCTTTTCCCCAGACTAGGATTCAAGGCAGTTTACACAAATTAAAGCAATACAGATAAAACACCAAAGGCTAAAAACATATAAGATAGTTAAAAAGCAATTAAAATATAATAGAACTAAAAGAATATAAAAACAGATCTATTAAAATACAGAGAGTAAAAACAGCACAGCACTATTTAATAATCCTTTCCTTAAAAAAAAAAAAGTCAGTCCCCAAAAGACTGTTAGAATAAAACAGTCTTCACCTGCTGGCTGAAAGACAACAAGGAGGGAGCTTCTAGTGTCTTGTCAAAACCAGTTTTCGGGGGGGAAATTTCCCAACTCTATAATTTGATAGTCTATTTATTTATTTCATGAAATTTACACACCGCTTGATCGTAAAAACAACAAAGCTCAAAGCAGTTTATAAAAGGATAAAATAAGAAAATCGGGGGGGGGGGGATACAGCAATCCTTTAAAACATACCAAAGTTAAAATACCAAAACAGTTGTATATGTTTTCCATAGTGTTCCAGCTTGTTTTGCATTTTCAACATTACTTAAACCAGCAAGCTCCCGTATGTTGTTTGCTTAAGTTCCAAGAGCAACTGTCATATATTCAGTTGTTCGTTTACAACATCAGGCACTTCTTCGCCTTCAGCTTTTAAACGCATTGGGCCCAGAGCCTGGGAACTGACCTTTCCTAGCAGGCTGCATTGTGGCATTACACCCACTGCCCTTTTAATTTGATTCCCAGTCGGAACATTTTTAATGCTTACAATTAACTTAATCCTTTAGAATTAAGTGTGTGCTTGTGTCCACATTGCAGAGTTTTACCTTATCAGCCTGGCGCATGTAGCAGTAGAGAATTCCTCGCATACATTTTATAGCAGAATGCTCCAGCTCATGGGTCCTTCCCTTGTCATCATCAATACGCCTGGGTAAGAGAGATAACCCGTGAAACAAATTGGAAATGCATTCAGAAGGAAGTAAAAGGTACCAGCATCCCTTTCCTGATAATTAAGTATTAAGAATGCTTTATATAGTGGCACCAGCAAAGTCTGATACACTCAGGCCTTATCAACCTTGCCACAATAAAGCCAATAGGTTTTTAAAAAAAATAATAACAATAATAATCAAACACTATGTCTAGGTTTCAGGAAATGAAGTCAAATAAAGGTTGCCCACAAACTTGATACCCTTTTATTTGCTAGTTTCGATTATCATCATCATTATTTCAAGGTATTACTTGCCCTTCACCATAAGGTCTATTGTGAGTTGCAACAATTTAGAATACAGTACTAAAAAGTTTAAAACAAATTTTAAAAAAAGTAAATCCAAATAATTATGAATCATCAAAAGACAAGCAGAAACAATATTTTTATTTGACAAATAACTGTGACATATTGATGGTTTGCAATGTTGCTAATCATTTCTAAACAGTATGAAGTGAGCATAATGCATCAGATTCCTTTGTATTACTTCTGGGGACAGTACTGTGAAACAGGCCATTGCATCTTCTGCCTCTCATGCCAGTATGATTCGCAGTGTCCTTACAAAAGCCTTGCCCTCTCATTAAAAGGCTCCACCCACGTGGTGTACTTCAGTGTCATCATAGTGTTAGGGGTGGTGTCATGTGTGATTAAGGCATTAATACAGTTAGCTGTCACCTTAATACACTCAACGGATTTGCTCAGGACACTTAGAATGCCAGGAAAATTAGCTTGCGGAGTGGCATTCAGCCTTCAACATACACACAAACATACGGCTCATCCCTCCTCCTTGGCCTGTTAATGCAATTACTGTATAGCATGTGAGCTCCTTAAAATTTAATGCATTACCTGGATTACCAATGGCTCAGAAAGCGGAAACCAAAAATGACAGGAGAAAATATGTGATGCGTAGAGATATGCAGGATTAGGGAACAATGGCTGATATGCAGACTTATAGGGTTGAAAGTACAATTGAGCCATTTTATTTGTTTATTTATTTAGAACATGCAAATCTCAGACTGAAGACCCAGAAGGCTCTCAACGCAGTTTGCAAAAAGATGCACAGTACTGGGACTGCCAAGTGCCAGCAAGCAAAGATGTGCCTTCATCATGGGATGAGTGAGATTAAACTGCACTGTCCCCCATTTTTGTCCCAGATGAGAGATGTCACCAGTGGAAGCTGTGGCCTAGTAGGTGGTGGACGAAGGGTAAAACAAGGATGGGGAAGGAAAATGCTGCTGGAATAATCCCTGAACCATATGGACACACCATGTTATTGACACTCCTGGTATTATATTCTCATAAAATATAGACGGTGGTAGTCAGCTAGTGCCTGGGAGACCAAATTTCGAATTCCAACTTGGTGATGAAGTTCATTAGCTTGCCTGGGGGCCAGTCACCATCTCTAAGCCTAACCTACCTTGAAGAGCTGGAGACGTGGAGACCATGTATGCCTCATTGGACGAAAGGTGAGATATAAATGTAATAATTAATAACAGTGCCCTGCATTAGTAAATCTTAAGCACCAGGCAAGTATAATCACTGTTGCTCTACTATATTGGAGGCTGGGGAAACTGAGGTTCGGGGGCTAAATGTGGCCCTCTGGGTCTCTCTATCTGGTCTTTATGACTCTCTGCAGGCTACACTCACTAGCCCCAGCTTCACACCCTTCACAAGTGTCTCTGCTTGTCATAAATATATGTCTGTGAAGTGTGATAATCTTTCTTGCCTGGATAGAGACTGGTGTAATGTGCGCAGGTGCCAGAAACCTCCAACAAACATAGGGAATCTGACTTTTGTACAAAGGACCTGCATCCATTGCTCTGCCAACTTTTGCCTCTGATCCCTGCGTACCACTAGCATGCACTGCCCAAAAATTTCTACATGAAGGATCCTTGGGTTGAAAAGGTTTCCCTCTCTCTGTGCTACATGAATGCTTTCAATCACCACAGTGTAAGAGAGTCTAAGGCCAGAACTGAGTACTGTGCAACTGTGCACTCACTTTAAGACTTATTTCAATACTACGTGTGTGAGCTGTGCAACAAAGGTGGAGAGAACACACAGGAAATCAAAGCAAAAGCTCTCAACGAAGAGTAGGGAAAGCTTCTAGGAAGATCTTGTTTCTTTTGACAACATAGAAAGAAAAAGTAACATCTGCACAAACCTTCAGATCATCGCTACCTAGTTCTGCATGAATCCCATGGGGAGAAGGAATTAAAGCTATAATGAAAGGAAGATGTCAAGGATTCCTTCCAGAGGCACAAGTAACAGAACGCAGGAGACATTCTGGCTACCTTTTATTCACCAGTTTTAATATGTTCAGTAACTGCATTTATTACTAAGTGTTTTATAATATTTTTAGAAGCAGTGGAATGAAATTAAACATATAAATTCTAAAAGCTGACATTTCTATCTTGTAATTAAATGGAACTCCTTAGGAGGTACTCTGCTGGTTAAGAACCTTTGGGTTTTGATTTGCAGTTACCAAGGGTACTTCAGACAGAGCTGTCATTAAAAAAAAAGAATAGGACAGGCTTTTAAAGGGTGAGTAGGTTCACCAAGAGGAAAAAAACAGTCGGAGGAATCAAACAGTGGCAAATGAATATTTCAAGAGAAGGCACTGATAGAGCTATCCAGCTTTCAAAAACAACAAAGTCTAAGTTTAAACCAGGAAGAAAAAAAAGATTTCATTGGCATATAAGTTGTTTGGCACAGAGATCATCCACACTTGATGCAAAGTCTGTGCAGGAAAACAAAATTATAATTAGCTCTTCAATGAAAATCTAGCAGAGCTGGAGCAATGCTCAAGAAGAAGAAGAAGAAATTATCTCCCTACTGTGTGATGCTGACTGGATATAGGAGTAAATTATTCAGCATTCCCAAGTCATTTTTCTTCCCTCATAAATATATCAATTAAACTAACACCACCTTCCTGTGTAGCACACATTAGAAAAAGAATGCAGAGTTTGATGACCACAGGGAAGCAGTATTTTAAGGAGATAAACACCTTTTTGAATGAACCATAAAGAAATTTTCAAGCATTAACCCAATTGTTCTTCATATCATCAAATTCCTTGGTTGCTGTAGAATGGTTTATCCCTGCCTAAGCTGTACTGGAAGCAGAAGCAAAATCTTCCCAGAAGTCCATTAAAGCACACAATATTCTTGAACAGGTCATTGCTAACGTATGGGTGTTTTATTTTTAAAAACCCACAGACACCATACAAAACTACAGGCAGACGCAAAAAAAGACATGGTTGTATTCAATGCTGTACGAAGTCAAAGTAACTTAGCAGTATACTTGTTCTGCTAGCGAAATGTTTTGCACTAGCAGAACTCAGATGCACAAGAGAATGCATAAGGGTACTTGTGATTTGTTAACTTTACTGTGCAATAGATTGCACAGTCAGTTTGGGGATGGGCCATAGTTCAGCAGTAGAACATCTGCTTTGCATGCAGAATGTCACCTGTTCAATCCCTGGCATCTCAAGGTAGAGCTGGGGGAGACTCTTGCCTGAAATCCCGGAGAGCTGCTGCTAAGTTAGTGTAAAAATACTGAGTTAGATGGATCACCAGTACAACTGTTGCACTGGGTTCCTCTGTTGCACAACATTAGAATTCACCTGTCCACTAGCAGACACAGAATATTAAGCTACAGCCATTGCATATAGAGTGTGGAAATTGTTTCAGTGTAGCTTTTGCACCATATGGATAACATCCTTCAGGCCGTGTGGAAAGAGTTCACGCTGTGGCTTCTCCACATACCATCACAGTGACAGTTTCTGGGAGTGGAGATGCTGACATGGGGAGGAGTCACTGTAGTGATCTAGAGATTTGATCCCATGCCAATAAGGTAATGTGAGAAAGGCCTTTAATATTCATTTGCATTCCTTTATGGATATGAGAACACTATCTGAAACTTGAACCAGAGACTCCAGGCAGTGCTGACCTTCCTGAAAAGGCTCAAATCTTTGAAATGGCAGCAGGTAAAGGGCATACTGGACTCCCACTTTAAACCCTGACAGTGGTACTGAAAATCTGACATTTGAAATAAAGTACAAAATTCATGAACTGCAATAGGGCATGACCTCAAATAATTAAATAAATGTTAAAAGGGATTAATAATTCAGTGGGAAGCATGAGCAAAACCATACTGGCAAAGCTCTGGATACAAACCACACTTGAATCCCCAAAATGGTACATGCATAACTTCTTCAATATGAAGGCATCCTTCAAAGAACATGAAGGTCGAACCTATTTAAATGAGTAGGTAGTGGGAATTGGAAGAGGAAATTATGTCTATAAAAATGATACTATGAATGGCACCAGATATTTAATCAACCACTAAATGAGGCTGGAGCTTCCAAAACCATATATGCTGATTTTGAACACTGAATGTAAAACGTAAATTAAAACGATAACAAATGACAAGTGTGCATTATACCATGCTAAAGAAGACTTTGATGGAAAATTATTAAAGTTTGAAAATACTCTTAACTTGAGGTAGGGGAATTTCTTTTAAGTGTAAGTTAGAGTAAATTGGACAAAGATAACAGGCGAACTACTAGATTAAATTGCATTTTAAGAGTTTGTAGAAAAGGTTGCATTTTTTTAATATAGTAAAAATGACAATCTATTTCTGTGGGAAGTGTTGAAATATGTGCTTGAAGACCTCAAATTCTTCCAAATTAAGAATCAAAATTGTACAGTTAAAATTAGGTGAATGAAATCACCTGCCCACATCTGCCAAAATGACACACCATTTCAGAGAACCCACAGGAACTCAAGTTTAGCTGCAGATCAGGGGTGGGAACAACAAGCAGTTTCAGCTGAAACAGATACGCAGGAAAAATAGAATATTATCCTCCCAGCCTATGGAGTCAAGTTACACCACGAGGTCAATCAAAAATTTGTTAACTTTCCACAGGTTGGCAGCATGAAGGGAAAACACTAGATTATGTGTTTTCCCTTCACTCTGCCAGCCTCCCAATGGCAGTTGCCTGCCCTCGGGACTGAGTGCTTGATCTAACTTCTTGGACAGGATAAATTTAAAAAAATTAAAAAATTGTCCAGTAGCACCTTAGAGACCAACTAAGTTTGTTCTTGTGCATGCACACGAAAGCTTATACCCAGAACAAACTTAGTTGGTCTCTAAGGTGCTACTGGACTTATTTATTTATTTATTTATGTCGTCTGCATCAGCCCAACATGGCTACCTACTTGATTCTTGGACAGGGAAAGTCACATAACTAAAAAGGTTTCAAAATTATGTTTCCAGGAGAATACACATAATCTCTTCTAGTCGCTCTGGAAAATACTCATGAAAAGTAGCATGGCCAGACTGAGTGTTAGGCCAACACAATGGAGAATTTAGAACTACTGTCTTGTCTGTGAAACAAAAAAGGAAGTTGTCTCTTCTAGGAAGACAGGAACACAGAAGTGTTAAAAGGTATACAAAAAACAAGAACACAGAAGCATTAGTAAAAGGTACATGTAGCAGGTTTCAAATCCCAAGTGATCACCAGTAAATCCAAACATGACATGAAACCAACAGCCACTGTGTCTAAAAGCACACTGGTATTCAGGGCTTTAGATGCATTTTAAACCTCTAGAAATCCATAAAAGCTCATGGGTCAGAGGAAACAGAGGACTGCATAACATGTTGTGGAGAAACAAGCTTTTAAGCAGCCACTGTGGGATACCCAGACAATAATTCAGCTGTATGTGTGAACACAAGACACACTGATTTAAATCATTTAATCATGGGCATTTGACCTCAGGCAAATACCTGTGCCCTCCCACAGATATTTGTACTTGTGACAACAGCTCCCACTTCGTGCTTCCACACATGGTCCAGACTCAGTGGTCCAACATCTGGTTTCCCACAGTGGCCAAACCAGTGTCCTCTGGAAAGCTGACAAGGACTTTCTCATCTGCTCTAACCCCTCAACACTACCTTTTTGCTGTGCTCTCCTCCAACCTTAGAATGCTCTGGCCCAAATAACTCCACCTGCAGCAGCTCAGGCCCACCACTTCCCCAAGGAACAATCCTATGCTGCCCTGGGAGTGTCTGAAAAAAAGAACCATCTAGGTGGAGTCAATGAGATGGTTCCTTCTCACATGAATGCCCTTCATCCTCCAACATTCTTTGGCAAGAAACCATCTTACTGGTCCTGCCTGAGTGATGCATTCATTTTCAGAGCTGAAGACCTCACAGGGTAGCAGCTCCAATACTACTACAGCTGTGATTTAGTCCTCTGAACTGCTTCAAAGGAAAACAAACCACCAAACTTGGGAAAGGTATGCTGGACCCCTTGCACAGCTCAATTGTCATCCTATGCATCTCATTTTGTTAACTTCTGTTCCATACTTTATACACCTGGAGAGGTAATTTGGTTTGAATTAAAATTATGGTTAAAATAGATCCTATTTTATAGATGAAAAATATTTATTGAACACTGATGCACTGTAAAACTAATTCATATTTTAAAGTATTCTCACTAGTTACTATGGTAACACCACCCTATAATGAATCTTTCTATAGCTACAATTGCTCATCATTTATAATTTAGACAGTTTCATCATATTTAATTATGCAATGTAGTAAAGTATCATACATTAATTATGATACATTTATTTCTGCTTTCCATTTGATATGTTCATCTCCTTTTTCAAGACTGAGTTGTTTTCCATTATTTCAATTTGCCATTAATTTCTGAATTCTAGCACCAAGGCACCACTAAAGATATCCAATGAGCCAAAATCACACAAAACAACAACTTTCAACTATGTGTAGACAACAAAGCTGTTTTTATTCATTCTTACATAGGTGGAAGAATTAACAGCAGGAGCTGCCCAAGGACACATTTTGACTCAAAAGGTTTAACAGGTTCTGTTCAGAAATACATTGTTTGTGTCAACACAATGGGCTACTGGTGGAGGACACCACAACTGAATGTGAACCCACCTAAGAAAGCAAACATAAACACCTGCAAAACAAACGAACAAACAAAGCCCTCTAGGGTACCTGGGGAAAATGTTCTATTTATTTATTTCATAAATTATATTTTGATTTTCACGAACATATCCTCACAAAGTAGTATACATGATACATTAGTTATACAACAAACAAAAAACCAATTTAAACCTTTTAAACACTCATACGACACAATCGTAACCAAATCCACTCAAAGGAAAGTACTGCTGAATACAACTGGACCAAAACACTGGTTAAGAATTCTGCTTAGGTGTGGAACCTGCTTAACCAAATTTAACACTGGTGCCAATGTATCTCCTATGTGTAAGGCTGGGGAAAGAGGGAGCACATTTCCCATCTCCTGACTGTGGTAAAGGCAGACCCTTTTGCCACATTTTCACGTGGAGGAAATAGTCAGGAAGCCTACATGGAAGCAATGGAAGCCTAAATTTTAGTTAGTCAGAAAGCCTAACTAAAAACTACATGGAAGGAATGAGGTGAAGACTTCTGGAAGCTGAATCGTTCTAATAAAGAGGCAGAGGACATGCAGTGGCACTTGTAGTAGAAAGCCAGAGGATGATCAAGTCAGATTAGTCTGCAGACATTAATGCCTACCTATTCTACTAACGCTCCCAATGTAATAGGTATATCTGCCAAGTGTGGGAGGGACCAAAGCTCAGCGGTAGAGCACATGCACTGCATGCAGAAGGTCCAAAATGCAACCCTCAGCATCTCAAGCGAGAAGGATCTAGCAGAAAAGCGCGCAAAATATCTCTGCTTAAGACTCTGGCAAGCGACTGCCAAACAGAGCAGGCAAACCTGGGCAAATAGTTTGACCGGGTGTAAGACCAGGTCAGGGACGCGGGTGGCGCTGTGGGTAAAACCTCAGCGCCTAGGACTTGCCAATCGCATGGTCGGCGGTTCGAATCCCTGCAGCGGGGTGAGCTCCCGTTGCTCGGTCCCAGCGCCTGCCAACCTAGCAGTTCGAAAGCACCCCCGGGTGCAAGTAGATAAATAGGGACCGTTTACTAGCGGGAAGGTAAACGGCGTTTCCGTGTGCTGCTCTGGTGCCGGTTCGCCGGAGCAGCTTCGTCACGCTGGCCACGTGACCCGGAAGTGTCTGCGGACAGCGCTGGCTCCCGGCCTCTAGAGTGAGATGAGCGCACAACCCTAGAGTCTGTCAAGACTGGCCCGTACTGGCAGGGGTACCTTTACCTTTTTTAAGACCAGGTCACACATATATGTATCACTAGTTCACACAAGCTGTTTGCACTAGTTCTCCCCTACCCAGATGCTTAAGTTTTCCTATAGGAAAGTATCCCCACACACAAGACACACAGAAAGGATTGAAATTGAAGCAATTCTGTAGCGCTGCAAGACTATGATTAGAAAATCAAGTGCTAGCTATTAGGGTTTTCAAAAGCTTTATTTTCCTTTTAAGAAAATGAACTATTGGAGTGTTTTTAAAATTAATATTATTGTTACATAGAGAGTGCCAATATTTGACAGACAAGGCAGCTCTATTTGCTGAAACAGCCTCTATAATTAAGGATGGGGGAGAAATTGGGGTCAGTTTTTGATGACTGGCATGGAACTCTGCTGATCAAATAATTTCAATGTATAATAATGATGTACATTAATTACATAAATTAACTGTTTTATTCAGTTGTAAAAGAGTTTAATGGGTGTTTTGAGTTATTTGGGTATTTTCAAATATTACTTTTGAATGTTTTATTACTGGATGTATACTGCTGTGAGTCTGCATAGTCTAGCTACTTGGTGCTTACTGAAATGGTCTCAAGAATGACTCAAGAAACTGAAAATGAGGAAAGGCAACATGATTTTTTAGATGCAAGATGCAGATTGCCAAGCCAACAATCAGCTATGTAAGAATGACTGCTACTAGACTTCCGGGGTGGCGCCATCGGCAATGGCGGACTCCCTCTGAACTGGAGGGACCAGCTCCACGGGAATCGGGTCTTTTCCACTACGGCGAAGCGGGGACCCATTCAAAAATCACAGGCGGATGAAGCCTGTGACCATGGGACTTGGCGGGCACCTTTAGCGCCCCCCCAACCCGCAAAGGAACCCACTAACGGGCTCCGGAGTGAAGAGGGGGAAGTGGCGCGGTGCTGAGAGTCAACTGCTTCTTCCGTGGAGCGAAGCCGCACAGCCGGTGCCGGAGAGCGCTGCCTTTTTCCTGGGACAATTTGGCTTTTAAAACAACCACCCGTGAGTACTTAAGTTTCGGACAATTGGACTCTAAATAAGGATTTGTGAGCAGAAAGGAAAACTGGACTTAAAAGTTTAACTTAATTTGGCACTGAAACGGGAAGGTCTAAACAGGAAGTCAGCCTTCCGTTTCTTTGTAGATAGATTAAAGCAAAGACACAGCAAACTAAAGTTCTGAAAATCGTTTCTAAAGGATTAACTTTCATCATTTAAAATTGTGGAACCCCTTCGGAAGCAGGAGAAGAGGGGGGATTTTTTCTGGACTGTTTAAACCTGCAGAAGTGAGTGTAAAGTAAAGTAACTTTCCACCGTCTTGATCCTGGAGCGGGGTGTCAGGACTGACGTTCTTTGAAGCTCATTGACCAGAGACAAACGTTTTTGACAGTTAGCTAAAGGAAGAGATACATAGTGATTCCATTGTTCCCCTTCGCATTTTAAAGGAACAAATATTGACAAAATATCTGAAAAAGGAAACTTTGTTGTTAGACTTGTTTTTAAAAGAAAAGAAGAAGCAGAAGTCTTTCCCCTAGAGGGAGCCTGTGAAACTGTAACCAATTTTGAATCGGGAAGCTCGCAGCTGTTACAGATTACGATCGTGGGAATAGTGTTCTGACCTTGCAGGACAATGTATTCAGAAGCTCTGTTGAGTGCTTTCTGTAAAACAAGTGCCCTACTGGAACAGCTACATGAGAAGATGGATTTTATGACTGATGCGATTAGAAATTTTGGACAGGCAGTAGGATATTATATAGAGCCCACCCAGGAATTAGATCAGGAGTGTGCCCTGACAGAACAGATGAGGGAAGAGGATGTTGCTGAATCTTGGGCGCCAGGGATGGAGGGAGCTGCGGCCCAGCAGGAACATGAATTCTTGGATTTGATAAATGAACTTGGAAAAAGCCAGATTTGGAAAGATAAAGTTTGGTTTGGTTTGGAAATGGGGGGTTGGATAGACCCCCCT